TTTAGAGGTTTCTAGTCTAGCCTCCTGAGAGGATTTACTAATTAATCCTCAGCAGGTTTCTTCACTGACCTGGCATGTTCTTCTGCACCTTTTTCTAGAGAGTACATGAGCTCTCAGTTGATACTGGGAGCTACTCAGCAAGATCTATTTTAAAGTCATTGTGCAGAAGAGTCTTGGTTTTGTTACCAGACTCCACTTCCAAATCCTCTGCATCTCCAGTGGCATCATGTCCCACCGCAGCTGGAACTACAGTTAATCGGCTTTGGGCAGACTGCACTCATCCCTCTGAATGAAAATGCCTGCTGGGAAAGAGATCTCAGGCACCTCACCCTTCTCTCAAGGAAATCACTCCCAAGGCTCAGCAGCCTCTTTGGCTCACAGAGGACCTATCCCTTCTCTAGCAGCCAGGGAAGAATTGCTGTGCTGTTGGGGAAATGGGGAAAATTGTTATGGAAATTGCTGTGTACCTTGTTTTTTATGAAATGAGAAGGTAACATCTTGTTACAAGCTTTATATTACAACGGCTGTTGTTTTATCCAATTTCCACACTGTTTGCATATTTTTAGAGGGGAAAAATTGCTTCTAGGATAGCAGTGTGGACCTTTAGCGGCATGTAGGACTTCAAACTCTAGTAGCCTGTGTACTTGACAAGCAGGGTGGAAGGGCTGCTTTTAACATAAAAAATACGTTAAAATATATATGCAGAGTGGTAGAGGTAATAATGCTGAAAGATTTTTTCAGCCTTTAGAGATGGTTGTGTAGGCCTATGCTTTTAGCCTAAGGCAAGCCAAAAAGAGATGGCAAGGGAAGAAAAAGGAAAGGCAATAGGGATAAGGCAAGATGTGGCAGAAGGAATAAACTTTTCACCTGCACAGCAAGAACTGACCACAGAACAAGGTCAGACTGGTTTAGGTAATAGAAGAAAAATAAGGCTAATGTTTAGATGGAGTCTTCCTGAAACAGGATGATAAATTAAGTACATCCACTTAGCATATCTGTAATGTGCAGCTGCCTCTTGGTGATTATATAAAACAGAAGTAGGCTCTGGCCAGCGTCAGGGCCGGAGCGTGCTCCTCCGCTCCTAGGAGTTTAGCTAGGCGCTCAAGGCCCCTGGCTGATAAAAAAACAGCCGAGAAGCCTTGGCTGGCCATGGAGCGCTTCAGGAAATGGCTGGAAGAAGCCCCAGCAGGGGCTCCCCCACTTTTCCCTGGGAGCTGCCTTCCCTCGCTGTGCCCTCACACCTTGGGCCAGCGCTCCTCTTCCTCACTGCCTCTGGGGCACAGGCAACGTTTAGCTTGGTTAAGCTGGCCACCTGCTAGTGCTTCTTCACGTCTGAAACCTTATCAGAATTACAGTATCAGGATTCTTTCTATTAAGTTGATAAAATCATACCACTTATATATTTTCTTCATGCAATAGCTGTATTACATTATTTTGATCCTTTTGATACGTTACGTAGTTGATGTTGCCTGTAAAGTTCTTTTAAAATCAGTAGTTCAGAGTCCTTTTTTTCTCCCAGAATTGGCATCTGGAACTCTTGTTTCTAACTTATGTCTGAGGGTCAACAGTGGTTTAATAAGTGTACCCCAGACAATAAATATATAAATGACTATAGCAGAGTGCTGTAGCCAGGACGATCTGAAAAGATAAGTGAGGCAAGATTGTAGGAAGATGAAATATATTGTCTAAAGCGCACCTGATACAACTAAAATAAACAGATATACTTTGGAGGTCACAGGACTTCCCCAGATCAGCACAGAGTACCTACATAGCAGAGGGTCCATGCTAATAATTTCCATTGACCTTGGTAGCCCCCCGCCAGATCAGGTTCAGAAACCATTTCACCTCAGGTTGGTAAACTACATTGTAGCTTACATTTCCATGCTCCAACTTTCATTTGATCTGTGCTTGAACTAGTTAGAAGTAATTGGAGGCATATTTTGTCAGCATGCAGTCCCTGCAGTTTTCACACATATACTTATATGAAGAAAATAACTTTATATGTTATTTTCTGAGGGCTTCTTCCACCATTTTTTTTAGGCGAGTTTCTAAGACAGTTTAAAAGGAGGTTTCTGAAGTAAGCAGCACAGCTTAAAATGCGAACTAAGCAAAACTCAAAAGATACCAATTTTTCCCACAGCAGTGACACATCACATAAGTACAACACTGTAATCCAGTAAGATAATAGTTTTCTCAGGCAGATGCCTGTTGCTGCCATCTGCCCTTTACAGAAGGGAGTTTTTGTATATGGTTGCAGGGGAAGGGAACTCCTCCAAACCAGCAGTTGGCAATAGAAGTCTCCACCTCCCCATCTGCAGGCTGACACTGGATTTCCCAGCCCGTTGGGGACCCCTTCGCATGCCCTAGGGCTTGCAAGTCCCTGGGGATCCTTGCACGCTCCGCTTCTCGGGACTGGCTATCTCGGAGGAGACAATACGTATCGAATCTCTCAATTAGAGATGCAGATTACAAAAGAAAATACAGCACAAAATGTGATTTTGGATTAGGTTAACAAGATTCCTCCTTTACTGTTTCACTGTTCATCACCAAGAGCTCTTTCGGCTTGTCCGGCTTGCAGCAGTGGGGGAACCGGGGCTGAGACGCTCACTCTGCCTCTTAGGTGCCCTCCTCAGTCCGGCATCAAAGCTTTTACCACAGCCTTGCTGGCAGCGTGCTCTGTCCTGACCAATGCAAATGCAGTAATTGTGGCTCGCCAGAAGGATCATTCTGTCTGAAATTCAAACCGTTTCCTGGCTGTCCTCTCCTCTTCTTGTCATTACGTTTCCCGCATGGTGCAACTGCAGCCCGGTGTCCCCGGCCCGGTCACCTCGCGCCGCACTCGTGCGGCACCGCGGGGACACAGGGACGTGGGGGTGCAGCACGTGCCACCGAGCAGCCCAGCTGCAGGCCGCAGAGCCCACAGCTAGCGCTTTTCCCGCGCTGCTCCTGCCTTCCACGCACAGGCATTTCTTGTGTCCTTCCGCACAGGGAAAAGCTCAGCTCTGCTGCCTAACTATATGTATAATCTTTCTCCCTTGGTTGCTCACTGAGGGAACACAGCCTGCTGGAAATGCATATGTATTTTGGTTAAGGGAAACGCACCTGCTTACTCTAGGCAGATCATGTTGCAGAAGACCAGTAGGCACAACGTAACACATCATTTTCTTTTAAATAAGAGATCAGTTAACTGGTTTCTTTTAGCATTGTCTCCTTTGAAATTTACTTTTGTCTTTAAACATTTGATCACGGTTTAGAACCCCTGCAAACAAACAAACAAAAAAGAGCCGCTAGCCTCCATCCCGTTGCAGGATTCCTAAGCCATATCCTTTCGCAGCAAATACATGACTCTAGCATATATGAAAAATAACTTGCCAAGAAATATATTATTTTCTGAATGAAATACCTCCCCATATTTTCATCTTTGCCACAGAACTCTGAAGTGCAAATAATTATTCTATACTGATATATATAATCTATGTAGCTTATTATAGGCTTTTCTATAAGCAATTGTTTTGAAATGCTCCTGCAGAAGACTTAGTTCCCATACAGCAGTATATATAGAAATTTCAGAATGCATTAGAAAATAAAAAACCCTCAAAATAAAAATATGTTAAAGGCTTCTTAGCTAGTTACAGGTGTAATTCAGGTTAAAGAATCTCTTTGTTTTGTACCATAAGTAAAGAAGAACTGAAATCTCCTTGCTAAAATTAAGATGATTTCCGTACTGATTCAGAGCATGTGAAGTTCACTCTATGTCTATGCCCCCTTCAGGCATTAAGTTAAACATTTGTTAAGTGATTTGCTAAATTCATTCCCGTTTCGCAACAACTTAAGCCTGTTACTTAGGTGTCATGAAATCCATGGGCTTAACCCCAGACAAAATTAGGTCTCAATACTTTGCTATTTCAGTCTTTTCCACGTTATCTTTGCCCTGTTGTGTGGATTTTAGTGGCTCACACACTAAGCTCAGTGCAGGAGTAAAGGTCGCTCAAGATTGCTCTGGAAAAAGACAGACCTGTAAACGGATAGTGCCTGCATAGCCCTGACACAGCATGATTTAGCATTATATCTGCATCCAAGCCTGATGAATGCTCCTTCCTTTGAACTTCCAATATACTTTGTTATGCCTTCTCTTTCCAGACTGCATTTTCATTTTCCACAAATCTTCCAGGCTCTTAATGCTTATCTGCCATCTTCTGCTGGAACGATCGATGCCCAAGCTCTGCACGATGCATTAGAGAGCGCGTCTAGCTCAGAAATCACTCATCTGACACTGGCAATCAGCTATGTGCTATACACTTGCGTCCACGTTTAACCTTAACATTTCCTGTTTTGCTGTAATTTTATAAACAATATGTTTCTCCATTTTAGCAGCAATGATCACGTTAAACTTCGTTGTTTGATACCATGTGTCAACAAGAATTACTCAAAGCTTAGGCCTGCTCTAATGTTTCCCTGTTTGATTTCAACTTGATTTCAAGGGTGTGACTTTTAGTTTATCATTGGCAGTGCAAGACCAAAGGTATGACATTCAGAGAGGTGTGAGTCCTGCAAACATTTTTTTTCCGTTCCTCTGAGAGGTCTGAGCTATCCTATCCAGCCTGCATTCAGTATCTGAGCTGAGCTGGCAAGCCTGGCATGGCCATTGTACGCTGACTGATGCGCTGTGTGGTGGAGATTGGAGGTAGAGGCCAAATTTTGCCAAGAACACTTAAATTTATCTTTATAGGGGTGTATCCATTAATCAACCTGTACTTTACTGTACATGCATTTATCATATCTGCTTGTCATAATATACTGTCGCTAGATAATCATGTTACCACAATCTTCCATAAACTCCAAACTGGCACTGGGATATACCCACAGGTCCCTTTCTATACTCATTTGAAAGCATTTTTAACAAGCTATGAACATTTTTTTAAGATAAAAGAATGATTCTAAAAACTCCACAGGTGCAAGAAGTGCTTTTATTTTTGACTTGTTGAGTAAAAGCCTTCTAAGTCTATAAAAAACAGATCAGAAAATAGCAATCTACCTTTCTACATGAAGGAAAAACCACTTGCAATCACGGCTCAAAGACCCCACAGTTAATAATCTTACATTCTTCAACAGGCCTTTCGTTATATGTAGACACGGCTTCCAGTTTCTGAAGAGTCTCTGTGCCCTCAATCAGTTGCCTACAGCAGGGGAAGAGGACAGTGAGAAGGACATAATCAGGATTTATGGCACCTAGCTGCCCGCTGTTTCCCAACCGGGGGACACCTGCACAACTCTCCCAGGCTCCCCCCAAGTTTTCGGTCCTGCTCTGGCTTTTTCCTCCCCCCTCTCACCCCCTGGGATAGCTCGAGCCTGCACGGCTGAGGAGCCCGGAGATAGCGCGCCCTGCTACGTTACATCTTCTCTGCAAAGGCTGAGTTAAATGTGCGTGATTTAACGACAACAACAACGACGGTGTCGGAGGGCTAGCAAATTCAGGTTGAATTTTGGAAGATCGAGAAATGCTTTGCTAATTGCTCTGCGAAACTGGCCACACCATGTGCCTTCACTGCCTCTGCTACGGCACCTGGCCCAGGAGCCGCTGCGGAAGTCTATTTCTTATGCGGCGCTATAACAAAACCACGTCGCGGTTTTCCTACCAACAGGCTGTATCTGCTTTGCTCTTTAAAGAGTCCTTCCTCACAAGGGAATCACAAAAGCCATCGGTTCTTTGTTAGATGGTCACTAGTTAGCATTTTAGGAGATGTGAAAGTACTATGGCTTTAGGTAGCCACATTTATTTAAAGAAATAAGCATTGTACAAGGTCCCCCAGCTGCAAACGACCATGACTTTTGAGGAGACAGAAGCCCAGCCTGAGCAGAGGGTGAGGACGTCAGCAGGATGGGAAATGCCTCGCTGTCCTCGCAGGAGGCTCTTTGCTCCTCCAGGACTAAAATCTCTAAGGCTAAGCTTTATGTGGGCCCTGTTATAAGTTCAATGCTCATGTTTCCTGTGCCTTTTGGATTATACAGAGCCAGTGGACACTTGAGGCAAATGCCACTTGTTATAAATATATCCAGCCAGAATTTGCTTTTGAGTTGTTCTCTGTAGGTTGGACATATTTTTATTCCCTTACATCAAGCAAACTGCTCGGACCAAAATCTTCCCTAGCACATTCCTAAAAGTCTAAAAACTTGAACAGGGCCAGCCCTATACATTAACCCACTGAGAATGAACTGTTAGCACACATTTGCTAAAATAATTTCTTTCGGCTCCTTAGGGCAAATCAGAGACTGGAGGCTTTTGCTCAACACTTCCCTGTCTGTCAGGGCACACCTTTGTTTGACAGTCAGAAATGGATAGGCTTGGCCCTGGGAGCTGCCATGGCTTTGCCAGAGGATTTCCAGCTCGAGCAGGTCAGGCCAAGGCAGAGAGAGGGAGGGAAGGGCGTCACTAGGTAGGTACTTTAAATCCATCTTATCCATGGCCAGAGATGGCTGTGTTGCAGCGTCATCAGGGCTTCATGAACCTTTTGGGCAGCAATGTCCCAGGGCAACATCCTAACCATTGAAGCAATGGCAAGCTTGAGTATGCGTACCCGAAAGCCACGTGCTTTTTGTCCAGGTAGGGAGCTGGCTGGAGGGTGATGTAGAACTGCGAGCCGTTGCTGTGGCGTCCTGTGTTGGCCATGCCCAGGATCCCTCTTTTGTTGTGACGGATGGAGAAGTTTTCATCTAGGAAAAGAGTTCAATAATTAAAAAAAAAGGCAACTGTGTTGCTTCCTTTGCTTGTAAGTCGCTATTACAGCTCCCTTTTCTATCGTTTCCTTCCTGCTCTGTCTCACTTCCCCGCCTCCTTTTCCCCCATCGATCGCCTGTCAACCTGTCCCACACGAGTGAAGTCACTCTTGGGTTTGAATCAAAGTCCTTCCCAGAAAGTACTTCCTGTTACTATGTAGTTCTCAAGCCAAGAAACAAACAGATGAAAACTATTCATGAGGAACCGTTCTAGGTATTTCTGAATACTAGACCAACAGCAACCGTCCCTCCAGCCCCATGTCGTTCTGCAACGTCTCTCCCTGGAGGAGCTCAGGGCATTTAGCAGGACAGTTCCCCGAGGCTACTTAGGATTATTCCCACTTTACAGATGATCCCCTGGGGCTTGCGTGGTCCGGCACCCCATTACGCCCCTGCACTGCTGGCCTCCGGCACAGTGCTCGTCCTGCCGAGCTGTCAAGACTCGAGCTCGCCACAGGCTTGAAGGAAACTAGGATATTTTTTGATTATATTGTGCTCTGGTTTTTTTTTTTTTTTGTTATTTTTGCTCTATTTGAGTGCCCTTCTCACAACCTGATTCATAAGAATGGTAATTAAATTTTAACTGAATTGTTACTCCCCTGACACTAACTTGTGGATTGCAAAATGACTTCAACTGTCTAATTTCAGAGAAGGATGCTTTGTACTGTGACACGACGCCCCAGGCCAAATGGTTCTCCGTAATTACCTCAGTACTTTGAGCTTATTACAGTAAAATGTAGTTGCATGCCATTAATTTCAGCAAGTATTGCGGTGAATGGACAGGTGCCAAATGTAGAGTTTCACAGAAAATTACCATCTGACAGAGGCATCTGTCACTGTTTTCAGACATCAAAGATATTTGTCCTCTGCCCTCAATGTAAATAGTTTGGTGGGAAGCACTAGAAAAGCAACCTAAGTCTTAAATTAAAAATGCATAGCTAAGCGAACACCTTTCTAAAGGATTAAAAGCGACATGTAGCTTTTAATTAAAAAGGGGGAAGGGGAAGAACTGGCAATCTTTTATTTTAACACATCAGCATTTGTAGTGTGTGCAGTATGGGCAATAAAATCCTTTTAGGGACACTTTCAGGGATGCCAAATTAAACCCATCTTAAAATTACATTACTTATGTGCTTTCGAAACACATCAGCTGCCCACACTTCAGCTCTGATAAGCAGTAAAAATCCCTGACCCTTTCAGCGTCTTTCCTTGGTGGCAAATGAGAAGCCTGGAGAAGAAACATGGAGCCGGGAGCGAGAGTGACTCTCGAAATTTTAATGTCCGTGCTGCTGCTAGCTTTCTGTGTGACTATAAAGCAAATCACTTCAGCTCTTGGCCCCATCTTCGCCCATGTACAAGGTAGCTGTGAGAAGTGTCACTTAATTAATTGCACGTGGAAATGTACTATAACGGTCAATCAGCCTGTGGATCGATGCTGCAGCCCGGGGGCACGTGCAGACCCAGACTGATGTTATTTTTTTGAAGTGCGGCCGGTTCCCACCCGAAGGACGAGACTGGCCCAGAGCTGGCCCTGGGGCAGTCGCTGGGAGAAAGTGTAAGAAGTGCGAGGCGCACGGTAGCACCGGTATAGTGCAGCTGGAAACGGGGCTTCACAAAGTTTTTAATCTTGTCATTGTCATCTGCCTTGCAAATGTAACGGATAGTCCTCATTTTTTTCCCAGTAATTGCTTGTTTTCTCTGTGTCCTGTTGCTATTGCAGGAGTTTCAGTGTCAAAGAGGTGACTTTTGCTCCTTCCTACCCCGTTCAGCGTGCGGTATTTATTGCCTGTGGGGACGCCGCTGGGGCACAAAAAAGGTCCGTAGACTTTTGTCCCGTTTTCAGTAACTTCCCTGCCTGTCGGCGCCGCACTTCAGCAGGGCCGGACCGTGGGCAACGTTCTGTCCAAAAAGTCTCATCGACCTGCTTGTCGTTTGCTTTTGCTCTGTGCTAGGGCCTCAAGGCGAAAGCGGCCTCTCCTCGGTCGCGTAGGCTCTTGATCGTCTTTGAAAATAAAGTTTTCAGCTACACTCGGCATTTCTGATCTCACTGCTGGCTGCTGCCCAGTCTGCTCAAACGTAACATCGTTTGTGACATTGGCAGGAAGAAAGCTTTTATATAGGAGAATATAAATCACTTTCCAAACTGCTTTGCCTGTCATAAACCATCTTTATGGGCAGCATTTAATCTAAACGGAATATCCCAAATGTCTGTGTCAATTATAGGAGTTGTTTTTCTTAAATATTGCATGTTATAACATTCTTTTTTCTTTACGTTTTATTACCTTATATCAGTACGGAGGAATGTTTAATATTAAACTTACCTCGTGTTTGTCATTTCTTGACTTTCAGAGTTTTAAGGGTCGTCTCAATTTAGTGAAATTTAGAAGCAACTCCACTTAGATCAGCAGAGTCACACAACCAGTGGCGGTGACGCCTGAGATGGGCCCAAGCCCTAAAGCTGCCTAAGTTCCAGGAAATCTAGAGCTAAAACCGAGTTATTTCCATTATTTTAAACATATTTAAACAAGTGCTATCAGATGCCTGGAGCTCTGTAGTTAATCATAGCACTTTGCATTTCTCAAGTCCTTCCACAACCATCAGTATTCACAGTTTTACATTTGAAGTAGATAGGCGGCTGGCCATCAGCTGTAATTTAGATGGGGTAAATGCACACAGATTTGGGAAGCAGAGGGTCGGGCACAGCGCATCAGAGGCAAGATTACAAGTCCAAAAGTTTCCTCATTAAAGCAGTCTGCTAATGCTAATACAAATGGTTAATAATGCTGACTGAAAATCAAAGCGTTTCCCTCAAGGAAATGAAAGAAAAGTCCCAGGTTTTCCTGAGAATAACATCATTTAAATAACCTGATTTTTGCTGAAATTTGAGATTTGCATAGCGAGATAATTCAGGAACCATACCTTCAAAGGTGGGACCGTAAATGGATTCTCCTCCATCTCCTCTTCTGGCTACTATGTCTGTAGAGCAGATAAAAGTAGCAATCAGAATTCAAGTTTCTCACAGGCTTAATGAATGTGCTCCAGGAGAAGGATGCCTGCCAGAGAGCAGATGTTTAGAACAAGGAAGGATGAAAATAAGGCTATGATGTTATGATGAGTTAAAGCTACGAGGTTATCTGAGGAAGAAGATTTGGTGAAAGAGAAATTCCTGTTGAAGTAGATTTCTGATGGGTGAGACACTACAGAAAACTGGTGCATCGGGTTTTTTTTTTTTTTTAAGAGGGTTTAAAGAGAACTATCTTTGTGACTTAAACATTGGGGTACGTGGGTTAGGTTAAGGTAAATTAGAATTTTAGGTTGCTTTTTTGGACTACATAAATATCTGCATGGTTATTCATGGAAAGTAGGAAGTATATCTTCAAAGTAGCCACTGAAAATGGAATTTAAGCAGTTACATTCAGAGTAGGCAAGACAAAGATAAACAAAGGTAAGGCGTCGAGGCCGATAAGACAGTTGATAGGCTGGAAGGAAGTAACGAAGGCGATCTCTTCTGGCACACCTAACTTGGCTTCCCTGGGAGGTCAGACAAGTTACGTGACTAGTCATTTCTTACGCCTTTCTCCTCAGTACATAGTACCCAGCTCTAGGCAAAGTCCTGGTTCAAATAACTCACCAAAACATTTGGAGTGTCTCTGACGCTTGGCTAAGTGCCTCCATAAATTAAACTCCCTCCAAAACAAGTAGTATGTTTTCCTGCGTATACTGTTAGTGTTTTAATGTTAGTTAAACAATTAGTTTCCCAATTACTTACCAAAGAACTTTATTGAAAGTGGCTTCATGTTTTCAATTAGCTTCCTAAATACTTACCAAAGATCTTTTGAAGAAGTATTGGATAATTAAAAAAAACCAAATTATCCTCACTTTTCTTACATTAGAAAGTCCTAGAAAGTTAGATGGCTAAAAGAGAAAATCTTTTTCAGTTTTATATGTATATTAACTGAGGGCTTGTCCTGCAGAGATTAGCTATGTCATGGAGTTCAGTTTTGTTTTCTTGGATGAAGACTGTTATTCATGCAGATCATCCCATCCCACTTCTGCCGTAATTCAGATATACTCAGAACATTTAGAAATGCACCTCCTCCTTGGATCCATCCCTTTTCTACTATTCGATGAAAAACGGAATTTTTGTAAGTGAGCTCGAGACCAGTGGAAGACGACCTCACTCCCCCTGTACACAAAACGCGGAAATTCTCACACGTTTTGGGACACGCATCCGAAAAGAGCTACAAAATGAGAGAGAGGAAAAATACGTGACGTTCATAACTGACATACATAAACTGGCCAGATTTCTATTCCCCCTTCTTTGGCCAATTAAACCACAGCATTTGGTGTATTCGTTCTTTGCTTTTGCTTTTCTCCCCTGTAACATACCTCAAATAAAAGTGTCCCGATGGGCTGTTGCTGAATGGCTATATCCAAGTACACAAACACATGCTGTTTAAAGCAGAAAAACAAATCCAATTGAGATAAAGGCCAGCTTTCAGTTCAACATTCACTATTCTAACTCATCTGAGAGCCTGGCTGCCCCGGGTGAACGGTGTCAGAAAATGCCCATGGGAGAGTCGATACAGAACAGAGTTTCTGCTGTTTTGTCTAAGTAAACACAAAGGTAAAGAAGGTCTCGCTTCATTCTGGACAGAAATCATTCTTACAGCGGGCTGAAAGCAAAATACGAGGCAGGGCCTATTTCTGCGACTCGCATTTCTTTACACTTCTGTGGTAGCCAAGGCAACACAGATAGGAATGAATAAAAGAACTGGAATACGGATCACGCCACCAAAATGGACCTTCTTTGCTTTTTGCTAACCATTTTCAAATCTGAGTGGCATCAATAAAGTATTTTCTGTGTTATTTGCTTTGGCCTGACATTTTATCTTTCTCTGCTCGTACTATTTTGTCAGTGTTTCTTTGCAGCATCACACCCCCACACACCATGGCATCTTAGGATTTCTTAGCTTGGGAAAAAACAGTGGTTTTGGTAACTGGGCTGTGGTACCCAGGCGGTTTGTGACTTTGGAGGAGGCACCGCCGGCCAGGGGCTTTTGTTGGACCATTCACACCGAGCGAGGCATGAGGGCCGGCGGTTGTCTGAAATGCCCTGGCGGGGTCACCCAGCTCTTGGAGACATTGAGAAGGTGCACGAGGATTTGCGTAACCAGTGCAGTTCGGTGCAAAAGTTGATTTTTGCCGCGGGGCACGTTGCCACCCCTGAAGAAGAGGTGTCTGATCTGCTCACCACTCGATTCCTGACTATGACAGCCTTACTACAACTAACCGATAGTTTATCCTTTTAAAATTAGGCCCCATCCCAGTCTCTCTCACCCACAAAATCCCTTCCTTTTACTTTGGGAAAGAGCATGAACGACCGCTTGCTTGAAAGAGGGACTTCTGCCCTCCTCTCACTCCTCCCCTGCTCCTTTCCATTTTCCCACTAGTTTCTGAAAAAAATACCTTAGCCTTTTGGATTTCCTGGGAAACTCGATCCTTTTCCCACAGGCAGCCAGGAAAACCTGAGCTTTCATACTGTGTCCCACCACTTTGTGGCTGCCGAGAGGAGCAACGCGTCTCCCCCAGCTCATGTCACCCTTTTCTGCCCATCATAGGGGGCAAGAAACTATAAACCGCGACCGCTCTGCTCACTCCTTTTCCTTCTGGCCAAACCTGCCGTTTTTTTCCCCGCTTGATAACATATAGGTAGTTGCAAACCTTATACGTCTCTTGCAAAAGAACGGCGTTACCTACCTGGCTATTTTTCATATATTTGGTGCAGAAATCCTCCGTAATAGCTTGGTAAAGGGCCTGGGGTGTAAAATCGCAGTGGTCCCACTTGTCGTAGGCCCAGCGGAGCAGCCGCTGCTCGTCGCCCAGCAGCTCGCCGTCGGCAAAGCACATCACCGGGGGCTGATAAGACCACGTCTCCCATGCACTCTATCTGTACAAAATGCGACTTATCTGGTGACAATTTATGGGAGTGGGGGGGTGGGGGGGGGGGGGAGGGGGGGGGAGATGTTTTAAAGCTTTTCCTACTTTTAAAGCCATGAATCCTGCCAACCCAAAGGGGACGCCCAACCGCCTTCGGTGAGGTGTGCTAGCGTTGCAGAGCTGCCCCTGACGGCCCCGGCGTGGCCTCTGCAGCTTTGGAAGAGGGAGGTGGGACCAGCACGGCCTGATGCGTCCAACTCGGCTGCTGACGCAGCCGATAACGTGGGCATTCACACGCCAAAAATTATAACGCGAAGGACCGCGCAGGCCGACTCCTGCTCTTGATCATAGAAATGCAGCTTTCTAATAATTTGAACGGCGGAAGTGCCCGGAGACCTGCGTCCTGTCTCAAGGGTCTCTGAGGACGTGAAAACAAACCGTGAGGGAGAAGAGCACCTCCGAAACACGCTGGTGGCGTCGAGCTGCGGGGGCGGCAGCCCGGGGGACAGGGTCTGCGGCCGAAACAGCCTTGGTAGACGAGAGCGCTACCTTCTTTTTCTCCTGTAAATATTCATGCCAGGCAAATTCAAACAGAGGCTGGACTACGGGGTCTGCAAAGTGGCTCTTAAACTTCTGCTTCAGAGCCTAGATTTTCAAGGCAAGGGGAAAAAAAGGGCTTACAAGCAGTTTAATACCAAGTTTAATCCCCCCCCCCCCCCCCAGCACCACCACACACCCCCGTCCTATCACTACTTGTATCCCATGATTTAACTGCGGTCCAAGCCATGTTTCAATCCAGGTATTGCATTTCGCTCCTCCTGCCTTTGGCATAGCTCCCGGCACTTGCGGAAGCGCACACAGGTGGGTCGAAATACTTAGTGTTAATTGTAATGAATATCTTCTTTTTTTAATTTTTTTTTAGTATTCATTTGAACGGCCCGCTTCACCAACCTTCTTGAATCACACTGCCCAGCCCACCCCCGAACGATAAAGGGGGAAAAAAACGGCCAAAGACGTGGCCGCCC